TATATATATATATATATAAAAGGTGCTACCTAATTATTGACACAATGTTTTTTTGCAGATAGAGCATATAGAATTAAAGTGCTGTACCATTTTACAATTCTCGCAATAATTAAGAGAAATTAATTACTAAAAATCACCGAATAAACTAGAGAGCTTCTCAGGAAGAGAGTAGGAAACGTGTCATATTAATAGACTTCAATGACCTCCACGTGATCAGTTTTCTCCAATCTCTTCCATACCTATGGAGCTTTAATGATCGTGTCCAATTAGAGGAGGAATAGTTTGTCACTCGAAAAGACTCTCTAATGAACCCAGTTAAATCCAAGCGCATGGTGAGATATAGCTATCCAACAGTCATAGTTACTAGGCGCGGCAATTACTACAAGCATCAAAAGCTACACATGAGCGATGCATTGTGCTGGATTGCTCTAAGCTATGATTATTCCCCGTCTTGCTTATCAAAATGAAATCTTTTAAAGGATAAGAAAAATGTACGTAAAAAAAAAAAAAATTAAAATACTTAATAGTACAATAATAAAATCAATTAGAATAAAAACTAAAAATTAATAAAATGAGAGGACTATAATGAGTCAGAGTTAAGCGTTAGTACTAAATTAATAAATTATTATTGAAAAAATTTATTATTGCTAAACATACAATAACATTTTCGTTCTATTGGATCATTTTTAATGTTTAACAAATTCAAATGTCAATAATTATTAAAACCGATATATAGCAGGGTTAGTTGTGATACTTTTTATTCAAATTATTAGGTCATTTAAAAAGTATCCGCGGTTTTTTGTTCAATTTTTGAATGAAAAAACTGCGGATACTTTTTAAATGATCTAATATTATAAATCTTCATATAATTACAATAAAATAATGAGAATTGCATTAAAACATTGCATGTTCATCACTTCTGGTTCATATAATAATTAAATAAATCTTTAATATATTTTGTAAATAAGAAAAAAATTTTGTTAATTAAAAAGAAGCAAAGTGGCTCAATAGACCTATGAGGCATATTGAGCAATCTCGAAGGATAAATTGCCTTCAAGGAAGGCAATTAAGATAGGAAGATTTAATAAGATTACATCGATGCAGTAATTTTATTATAAAGTAACGCTACACACGTTCTAACACACAGAGTTCTAACATTAGTTATAACTTCGGCGTAAATCGAGCCATGTAAACGTAGTATAACTGCTATATCTCATTGCGCATTCAGATTTGGTAAACCGAGTATATTCGCTAATTTTTAGTGTTTTCGAGCAAGTTTGTAGCGAGTCGGATTAATGATATGCTCTACTATTAGAGCATGTAACACCAACCAATAGCAGAGCAATCCATTTTAGGTCGATACAAACCAACGCAATAGTAAAAAAACTCTAATAGTAATTTCTCATTAACTAATTACAAAATTGCAAAATGGTACAAGACTTTCACCTCACAAGTTTAGTCCGCTCCATCTGCACATAAGTATTGTACCAATAATTAAACACCCTGGATGTGTATGTATGTATGTATGTATGTATGTATGTATATATGTATATATATATATATATATATATATTTGAGTCTTATGTTTCAAAATTCACTCTAAAGAATTCAATAAGAAGCTTCCTATTTTTTTTAAATATATAAAAAAAGTTTTAATATCTTCGCTTAAATGATGAATGAAAGATTTCATTTTGTATTTATTTTTCATATATGTATAGCGTTTGATTTAAATGAAAACTCAGTTATTTTTATAAATAATAAAAATATAAAAAATTTATTAAATATAACTTACATTATTTAAAATCTATAACGACTTAAATAAAAGTTTTTTTAATAAACATTTTTTTATTGGAAATATTTTATCTTTCCGCTCATATCCAGAAGTAATACAAGTAAAGATATCTCACAAATCATTATCGAAAATTAGATTTTATTGCACCTGTTATGATTGAACTTATAATAAAATATCTCACAAAACTATAATAAAATAAATATAAAGTATAAAAAATCAGTTCGCTCTATTAATATCCAGAAGAATATAATTTAATAATAGGTTAAAATAGGTTAAAATATAAGTAATTTTATTGCATTGACTAGTAATTTCACTTATTACATTTTTATGAATAAATATCATATGATATTGATTTGGATATTAATTCGTTTGCATTAAGGAGAATTCTTTGACAATTATTTATGATTAGAAGAAGCATGTAACAAAATCATAGATAAAAGGAAGAATTAAAAATTTTTTATTATTTTTTTTATTCGAAATCATAGATAAAAGGAAAAATTAAAAATTTTCTATTATTCACCACCATAGAATTGATTTTCATGATTATTATATTACGTTATAGACCATAATTGATCAACCTTTGATTTTATATCTAATATTTGACTGCATCAACATTTACGGCTATTTTTTTATCATTTGATTGTTCAATTAATAGTTAGATTTATTATATATATAAGCATATACATATAATTCTTTGATAATAGAGGCTGAAACTGTGAGTAAAGTCAAAACTTGTTTCGCTTATGATATGCAATTATTATAATTTTTTACTGTATTATAGTGTAAATTGTATTGTAATACACATTCATATATGTTCGATATGTTAATTTTTGCCTATTATTAAATTATAATATATTTTTCTGGAAAAAAATATATACTATTCTATTAAAAGGTAAAGTTATTTAAAAAATTTATTATTGTAAAATAGTAAATAAAAAATTAGAATATTAGTTTAAACGATATAGAGGTTTTCAAGCAAAATAATTTTTATTTTAAAAAATGTTTTATAATTCTATTATTTAAAAGAAATATACACTTAAATCAAACGCACTGTATATTAATTCAAACATTCATTCTTTTTTTCGCGTTAATTGATATGGAATGTGATGAGGTAGGATATTTCTCGGAAAATAAATCTGACGCGAAAACTCATTATCAGTAAATTTCAGAAAAAAGTTTTCAAAATGAAGACAAGTAAGGGATCATGAAATTGAAATAACGATTTAATACAACATACTGACATCTCCGACTGTTAAAATAAAAATCGCACATTTTTTTCAAGTTTTTTCGATTAAGACACGAGATATTTATAGTAGTTACTTTTTAAACGTTGACTAGTGAAAATAAATCTACATTCATAAGACAGGAAAAACAAAAGTGCGTACACATTTTGAGAATGCTGTACGGCTATGCTACAATATATTCAGACACATATAGAGAGCAGACAAAATATTGTAATGTGATCAAAAAAAGTGTGAAATCACTCATATTATGTAAATAACAATATAAATAGTGATTAATAATCGAGCCAAATCAAGTTTTTTTTTAATTAAATTATTATTTTATAATTATACTAATAATATAAGATCAACAAATCATATACGTTTCGATCACCAGTCCTTCTTTAGCTAATCATAAAGTGAATAATAATAAATTCGCATTCTTAATAATAAAAAGCTATTCCATTAACAAGAATAAAAATTTTTATTAATAACAAATAATGAGCCAACCTTTTATTAATAAAATGATATATTTCCTAAGTGTTTCACATTATTTTGTCCATCTCCTGTATACTACTGTGATTAAAAATTACTGAGATCAATAAAATGCAAACTATGAAATTATTCATCCAATATCGTCCCTTTAAAATAATTCTCTCTCATTGCAATACATTTATGTTAACGTTTTTTCCATTGCTCGAAGCATCTTTTTTGGTCGATTTTAAGTATAGCCTTCAATGCGTGGCGAAATCTTTTTTTATCGTGTCTATCGATTCAAAACGGTGTCCACGAAGCAGTAATTTCAACCGAGAGAATAGGAAAAAATCACACGGTACCGTATCAGACGAATATTCGAAATTATTCGTTGAATTTTTGGCTATAAAACTACGAACAAGACAAGAAAAATTCTTGTTGGAGAGAGCTCCTCTTACCTGTAAATTGATTGTTTATACATGTATTGTTGCCTACAGCTCAATTGCCTACATGCACTTTTACGCATAAATATAAAATGAAGAAACAAAGGTAAATACGTTTGCACACACATTACATTGAAAAACATTCATGTAATTTTTACATAGAATTTCTAGTAAATTTCCAATCATATTTAAGTAATTTTCCGATCATAAACATGTAATTTCCATGTAAAATTACAATTTTTTCAGTGTACTATTGTTTATAGATTGATTGCCTATACAAGTATTGTCTATATTTAAATTATATTAAAAAATAGTTTATGTTTTTAAAAAAGAATTTGTGTTATTAGAGCTGAGAATTTGTGTTTTCAAAACAAAGAATTTGTGTGTTAAAACAGAATTTGTGTTTTAAAATAGAGAATTTATATTTTTAAAACAGAAAAGTAATGCTTGTAGGCTATCGAACTATAGGCAACAATACTTGTAGGCAAATGTGACTTCACTTCTGAAATTTTTATTTGTGCGCAAAAATGAATATAGGCAATCGAGCTGTAGACAATAATACATACAGACAATCAATCTTAGGTAGATGGGGTCCTCTCGAAAAAATCCAGCGTTTTTGGAACAATGCGAGATGTGACGCGTCTTACGTCCAAATTGTCTTTCAAAATCAAGTGGCATGAATCAAATGATATTCTAACACAATCAATTATATTTCGAATTGTCAATCGATCACTAAATCCTTTATCTCTTTGACATGTTGCTCATGTTGAAGTGAAAGTTTTCCTCCTTCAACTTTTCTATCTTTTTTGAACATTTTATACCATTCAAAAATTCTTGTTCTTAACATGCACTCATTACCGAAACATTTCCGCAACACGAAATTTCGTTCGAAAGACAAAATTTTATGCAAATTCTTTACAAAATTTTACATTAAAAATCGTCGGAAGTACTTTTTCTCAATAACAAACAAATATTTACTAACAAAGGTAATGACGTAAAATTTTAAGCAAAAGAAGAAACAGTCCTATATACAGTATTATCATTTTAACTTTGTTAATTTACCGACTTTGTCGGTACCGCATCCACGTGCTGTTAAAATGCAATACCAATAGCGACTGAGGAACATTGTATAACAAAAAAGAATGTTCCTGCGCCACTAAAAGTTCAAAAGATATGTCTTTGTATAAAATGTTAAGATAGTACATATACATATATCGGAAGTAATAATTTACTAAAAATAGAATCAAAGTGTGAGTTCACCGGGAATAACGTGTATAATGTCTTCTTCATCTTGAATTCAGTTAATATCCCACAACACTTTAGCTCTATAAAAATTGCTTTCATGTTAGTAAGCATTTATGATGCATTAGCATTCCCAAAAAGATTTCAAGTAACGAACATTGCGCTGAGAACTCTGGAAGGTGCGTTAAGTTGTGACAAGATTTGCCAATGGATATTTCTCTCGAAAAATTCCAATATTCTTGATTTGCCATGATGAAACGGCATCAAGAATATTAATAGTAATCAGAGTTTTATAATCATTTTCATTAAATACTAATTCAATTTACTTCTTTTTCTTACCCTCACATTCTTTCAATAATATCAATATAGAATATCTTTTTGCAATATGTCTACTGTGTAAAATTAGTAATACACATCGTAAGAAACAGAATTTAAAAATATTGCTAAAATGTTTGAAGAATCAGGAATATAAAAGACAACCATCTTTGAAACTTATGCATGCTTCCCAAGAGTCAGATATATGCGGATAGATTTGTGTAGTGGGCCTAATAGCAGATTTTTTTGCTGTAGAGTCGGGATGTCAGATAAATATTTGAAAAATAATAGATACGATAAATAAGAATAAATGCATCCAAAAAAATAGACAGACTTAACGAAGAAGAGAGAAAAGTATAAAAGCATATCCATAAAGACCTATTAGGCTCCGGGTGGAGAGTTATTTTTGTATTCCTCTTGCTGACATTTCCTATGGAAAATATTAAATTCTGGAAACGATTTATTGGATATTCTTCATCTATTTTCTAGTACCGACTGTATCTATTTCGAATAAAGGCAAGTAAAAACACTATCTAGTATGTTGCAAATATCAATTAATTTCATGTAATGAAACGTAGGCTAACAATATGCGCTATATTTTTGGCGAACAAATTGTAAATTTAGTAATAATTTCTTATTTTATCACATTCGCTTTGACATAAATAATCTAAAATAATATTTGAAATTTAATCTGAATATTCTGTTGTGCCAAGAATTGTAGTATCAATCAATTCTCGCATAGTACCTTTTCTTTAGAACGATCGCTTCAACTAATACAAATTGAATAAGTAATACAAGCTAAACCTAACTCTGAACCTAAAAATGGTTTTCAGAACCAAGAGAAATCATAACTTACCGTAATAGTCGAATGCATGAGCTGAGAAGGGGAGGGAAAAAAATTGTACTTAGTTACGTTATCATAAGAATGCATTACACTAATATAACACCTCTCTACACTCAGACTCATTAATTCAAAATAAAAAAAGTCTACAACTAACTTTAAAATTGTACGAAAAAATAAAACATTTCGTAATATTGCAATATTATGTCTGGCGGTTTAAGAAATATTCGATTGTATACTCTGTAGAGACAACATAAATTTTTTAGTAATATATAATTTATTTGTGAAAATTTTCCAAAGAAATAGGTAATAAAATCATAGCGTTTTATAGAAGTGATTTTCAAATATTTCATATTTTAAAATAAAAAATATTACGCTGAATGTAGTTAGGTGAATATAATTTTGTAAATTTTTATATGTGGTGCTTCGATTCCTACATATAAGAGGAAACGTACATATTCAGAATATTTATTATTTTTAGGGTAACGTTTTATCTTCCATGTTCAACACTTTCGTTTACCAGCGACTATAGTGTTCGTTAAATATTGATCCAATATTGCGAGAAAATTTAGTTTCTTTTAAAAATTATTCTTAACGGTAGATGTTCTCTAATGAATGCACTGCAATATCTCACTTACATCCCTTGTCACACTTATGCCCACCCTCTAAGTCTCTCTCAAAATAAATATTGCTATTTCATTGTTCTTGTTAATATATGGGAACAATAAAGCAAAATTTTAAAAGCGGACATTTTCTTTATCGATATTAAAATACAAATATCTAGACAATTAACACTTTACCAAGAGCGTTAAAAAGTATCATAAAACAAGCTATTTTCATATCTTACATATACAGAATGTCACAAAAAAGTCGGAACATTGAATTATCTTGAAAAAATAATGTTTCGCAAAATTGTATGTCATACAGAAGTTGTAGGATGTCAAATTATCCATCATGATATTAGTTTCTTTTGAACGATTTTGAGAATGTCATATCAAGATCAAATATGACATTCTCAAGATCGTTCAAAGTCAAACTAATATCACCACACGATGAGCGATTTGATACTCTACAACTTTTGTATGAAAATTTTTGCCGAAAACGTCATGTTTTCGAAATAATCCAATATCTCAACCTTTTTGTGGCATCCTGGATATACTCATTAAATACCACATGGCTTTTTATATCTAAAAATATACTTGGAGAAACATTCTGTCAAAGTAATAAGAAAAGCCTGTAAGAATCAACACTAGATAAACTTGTGTTACAAATCTTTATTACATAAAAATGAAGTATAAACGTTTCAACTTTCGATTAAAATCCTTTTCAGTGTACAGGATGATTCTGTAAAACATTTTAAGTCTTATACAAAAGTCTTATACAAAAACGTCGAACTATTTCCCTAAAAATGAAATATATTTTTTGCTAGTTGTAGGTGTACTTACAATAGTATTTTTATTTTAAAGCATTTTTTAACGTATACCATAGAGTCATTAACGCTTTAAAATATGAAACTGAATTTCGGCAGTTAAGCATTTTTGCAATAAGCGCATCAATTATGTCAGTATTTAAAAGCGAGTCAATATACAAGGACACCTTCACAACCATGCGCACGAATGTGCCATGCATAAGCGCGAATTTAAACGCTATAATTGACAAACTTTGATGTGTGTGGTTTATAATCTAAAAAATATTATAACTTCGACATATTTGTATAAGACTTTTTTTAAAAAATACATTAATGAAAGTACTTCCCATCACTTGTAAAACGCTACGAATTAATTCCAACACCTAATAACATATAAATAGAAAATAAAATTTAAAAAATAATATTTTTTGGATAAAACATACTTGGTCATAGGATTCGTCAAATTAAAAATAGCAATCATCATTCACATCTATAATATTGACTATAATGAAACGCACCTGGCTATGAGATCTCATAAATTGTTCGGGTGAAAGCGTTTCACACATAATTCATTCGACAAGAATTTTATGATTTATTGCAATAAAATTAAACGTTTTTGGCTCACAATATAAAACTATAAAAATCATGAAATTTTCAAGTTGAAACAGATTTTCGATATACAATCTCAAAATCTTATAAGAAAATAATGACAACATGTATAAACAATACATAATTATTATAAAAACTACATCTACACGATAGATTTAATAACAACAGTAGTTATAACTATTAACATAAAACGTAAGTATTAAAGTTACACATCTGATAGCGAAGAAATGTAAATTTTTCAAAATCGATTTTAAAAGATCGTGTAAACGCAATGATTGTTACGCTTTTATTGTCAACCTTGAATGCTACGAGCTTATAAAATAACCAAAGAATTATATATATTCATAATTGCTTTCATTACATCAGTAGGATAAATTAAAACAGCTTCGCATAAAAAAGTACATGTTTCAAGAGTTATAATTATGGATGTTATTATACCCGATTAATATAGTTGCCACATAAACGTAGTCAAAGAAAGAGAATCAAGTATTTATTATTATAAACATAAAGCATAATTATTGCCATTTTTAATTTGACATGTCTTATTCAAAGAACGTTTCTACTTTCTATTTATATGTCATTATGTTAGTGCATTGTTAATTTTGAATTATATATAATAAATATATTAAAAAGAACTTTAATCGAAAGTTGGAACGTTTAAATTTCATTTTTATGTAATAAAATATTTGTAAAATATGTTTATTTTGTGTTAGATCTTATAGGCTTTTCTACTTACTTTGATTTAATTCGCCTAAATTCAAATTTTAAATATTCTATGTGAGCACAAATACCAATTCTCTACCAGCACGCATGAGTCATGGCATAACAATCTTGTAAAAATCTTAGTATGTAATCGTAATTTATATTTTCCCAACAAACAGGACGTCTAGAGTTAATGTGCTGTGTAATTTTAACTCTCTTTCAGTTAATTATTTCATTAAACTATTGAAGCGTGAGTAAGCCTTTTTTTCATATGCAAGCAAAATCTGTGTATGTGGAAGTAAAACTGTAAAAGTCTTAAGGACAGTGAAATATAGTTACAATGCAAAAATTTTCTTATTATATAGTATTTACAATAAATGTAAATTTCCATATACAAAACTCTTGCAGCACAATTCAAATGTAAAATCGGTTATCACACCGACTTGTGTGTAATCTTCATGACTCCTCGTTGCCTTCACATAATTTGAAATATTTAGAAAAATCAAAAATCAAAAATCTGCGGAGCAATGTTTAAAAAGCGCAAAGCACCTCAATGGTTAGACTCTACATATCCCTTCGCTTGGAACACGACGTATCTCTACCTTCCGATGTGTATCTCTACCTCTATAATATAACCAGTGTTGTAACAAGTACCTTTTCAGAAGTATCTAGATATAAATATAGGTACTGTGTGGAAAAAGTACCTAGTTATAGGTATAGATACGTTTTTAAAAATTACCTAAGTATAGATACAATATAGCAATACCTGAAACATTTTGTTATTTTTCAGATACTTTAAAAAAAAAAACAAACTGCGTAAACGAATTTTACTTCGTATCGTATTACTATTATATAGTATAGTATATAAAAATGTTTGGATACTTATCATGCCATGCTTTTTTTAAATCAGTAGTGCTTCAAACATTGTATTAGAAAATCGATTTTTTCTGGGGATTTAAGTTTAATACAAGGGAAATTAAGTTTAATACAATGACATATTATATAGATCATACGACATATACAGAATGTTCCATTTTAATTATCCCAGGCAAATGTCTTCAATTCTTCAAAAATACAAAAAAATGTTTCAGATGAAAATGAGACGTACGATTTTAAGAGAGATGTAATTTGAACATGTTACTTTTTTTTCTAGGTGGAAATAAAAAAAATAGGTCACTTTCACGTTTTTAATTAAAATTGTATGATTTTTTTTATACAATATGATTCTTCTAATTATTCTGCATATAAAAGTATTAAGATAGAGATATCAAAAAACTAATATAGTTTACAAGATATTTTATACTTTATTCTGACAAATATTGACATGAAGTATTAAATGTCTCGTAAACTTTATTAATTTTTTGCTATTTCTGTCTTAATACTTTTATATGCAGAATAATTAGAGGAATCATATTGTATAAAAAAATCATACAATTCCATTTAAAAAAGTAGATATGACCATATCTTTTGAACGCCTCCATCTCGAAAAAAAGCAACTTGCTTTTGAAAACTGTTGCACTTCCATCTGAAATATTTGTTCATACTTTACGTATTTTTCAAGATATTTTTTATTCAGGAACAATTAAAATAAAATACTCTGTAAACCAAATATTCTGTTCATAGCTTGAAGATGACAATTTAAGGCGATTCCATTGCGTTTCTTTTTATTTTCAGAAAAAATAGAGCATAAAATCTCAACAATCACTGACAGTCATTTAAAGTATCAATTTCCGGCTTCATTTCCTATCACTGAAAAATATATTAGGTGTTGGAATTAATTCGTAGCGTTTTTTAATGAAAGAATGTTATTTATTTCACATGAGCATTAAAAAATACATTAATGAAAGTACTTCCCATCACTTGTAAAACGCTACGAATTAATTCCAACACCTAATAGGAAGGTTTGATCTATGTATATATCATTGGTATATAGATAAATATTTTGTTGTATCTAAACTTAATCTAAAAAAGTATTCAGGTATAAGTCTCTGTCTATAAGGACCTAGGTAATGCACTTAGATACTGCTAAAGTACTTAAGTACTTATATCTAGGTATGTTACAACACTGAATGTAACGTCTTACGACAATTATAGAAAGGTAGTAAAAAAGTAGACAGAACATACATAGGTAGTTTGGTGCAGACCCACCTTTCCTGGGACGCCACCAGTCAGTCTCAAAGTAGCCTGCGGAGCAAGAGTGAGTTGGTGTTGTTGTTGAACAGGAGGAGTAGATGGTGTATGCAGAGGACGATGTGGACAGTCCTTGTGTCCAACACCGGATGAATCGATCAGATTGTATCGCAAGGCAAGGGAACACGCGTATGTTTAATTTTTTTCATACCGCAAGATCAGTTAGATAACAGATATAAAAAATTTATCATATATATATATATATGTGTATATACGCGTGTGTATTATTTTTAGTAATACTATTCCTTTGTGTCCATTCAAAATAAAAAATTGGACAATCAGATATATATAATCTTAAGAAGAAACATTATTTACGGTCAAAATTCTGATTTTGTCATAGTTAATGTTGTACTATCTTTCGTTACAGTAAAGTAGGTGGTATTGGAACTAAATATTTGAAAATTTGTTAATCACTAACACATGATTTGTGAGCAGTTTTGTATTGTTAGCAGATTGCAAGATTTTTCTTTTGATTAATCATCAATAACACATATAATGTTGGTGAGATTAATCGTCAGTAACACATATAATGTTTGTGTTTAAGAACTAACTGAATTTGCGGTTGTACGTCATGGAAATGAAAATGTATGTAGGAAAACGTGTTGCCACCACCAAAAAACTTAACTTAAACGAAACCCAGATTGATTGTTAGACGCTTACTACCTGTTACTAATATATTTGTTACACACATAATCTAAGGCTCACAATAAAAACTGTTATTCATGTTCACAATTATAATAATAATTGTAACGTAATAATAATATACTATTCATTTTTCAACATACTTAAATGTTATTAATATATATTTTTAAATATGTGCTGATTAATAATTTGTGTCATAAACACATAAACATAATATATCATTTCTTTAATGTTGAGTATTGTTTAAATAACAAAATATAAAAAATCGTGTAAAAGTGTTGAAAACTGTTAATCCTTTACAAACAATACGAAGGAAAATGATAATTGCGATGTAATGAATATTAAATTCATATTTAGGAATATGTAAGTTTCCTCGCCACTTTAAAATTAATTATAATAAATAATTTAGAAGGTTAACTCAATTTTAATATTAATTGTTCTAAAACAAAAAATGCACTTGTGTGATTAATAACGTCTTAATTTACTTAATTAATACACAAAATAACAAAGAATATTGTTAAGATTTCGTATGTAGTCACAGACAAACTGTATAACATAATGTTTTAATAAAAAATATATAAAGATGTATACTGTGTCTTTTTTATTTAAAAACCACCCACTTTACTAATTATTTATTCATGCGAAAACTATGAAATATGTGTAGCTTAATGATATTTTAGTGACCTTAAGACACGCACTGTGTGAATGCGCTATAAACATGTGAACTTACGTTAAAGTGAAAATTAATAATTAATAAATATTAATAATTAATAATTATTTAGTAAAATAACAGGAAAAAGTTAACGATTCTTGTACAAGATATTTAATGATGTCTTATCTTGTAACAAATCAGTTAAATTTCAAAAATCTTCGGAAACTTATTATATTTCAATTCCATCATTTATATTTAACGTACGTAAAACCTTTATAAATTAAATATCACATGTTTTTCCTAATACTTAAACGTTTCACAAGTAACACATATGTGCAATATATAAATAAATAAATATAAGAGAAATATTGACTCACCGTCGTGGGATGTATGCGTAGTCTGAATGGTTTGCGTTTGCTTGCTGTAGACAACTGGTTCTTTTGGTGGAATGTTTGTGTGCGCCACGGAGACAATCGTAAGCTCTCGATTCTTTCTTCGTCCTACACTGTTTTATACCATAATGTAAAATTATAAATATCGGCTTTAAAAGAAATGCAAAGATGTAAATAAATACCTCTGTGCAGAATTTATACTAGACGGTTGTAAGCTGGCGTCCGGTGTAGCATTAGCACTCTGTTCAGGTGTCAACGAGCTCATACTAGACAAACTAGAGAGCACATCTGTAAGTAAACAGAAACCGTTAGGGAAAAGTGCCAATCCTAATAATTGAACACATGACTTATATACCTGACACTGGCGCTACACCCAAAGAAGACAGCATTGCATCTATCTCTTTACGCTGATCCTTGTCCGTGCCAGCGGCACGAACAGTAGCTTCTTCTACCTACAATCCATAAGCGAATCATTTTGCCATTAGTAGAGACCTTCTAATCAGAGTTTGGCCATAAAAATAATCCGACATTTTTCTTCAAAATTGTAGTGAGAAAAGACAATAATTATCATTATATCTCGCTCTGCAGAAGTGCGAAAGAAAAAAAGATGTTTTATTCTGTTCTGAGTGATGCGAGATAAAGATATGTTGAATGATATACTTATATACTATTAGCCTATATACTATTAAGTATCGGAAAAAGTGCGGATTTTTAAATAAAAATTCAATTACGGAAACCAAGTGAAGAAAGTTTCTTTCTAACCGATCATCATCATTGGAATACTTGCGCAATGTCGGCATCTTTTTCGTAAGTTTAAACGTATACATGCAGTTCATTTTTAATAACAAATGAACATCCCAAATGCGATTCATTCTCTAACAATTCATTGCCTTCCTTAAATTGCTTAAGAGCTACCGTACACACTTTCCGCTTACTTATTACAGTAACCGTAAGATGCATCATATAAATTAGCCAATTAGAGCTGAAAATTTTTGATAATTCTTGACTGTAATTAACTACACTAAAAGAAAAAATTGGCTGTTTAGCAATTTAGATAGTAAAATATGGATAGTATAACATTTTTAATTGGCTGCAACAGTAACATATATATATATATATATATACAGAATATGCATATCTATATTATACAATATTCCTAACTAATATTAAAAAAACAAATTCATTTATTTTTCCATATAAAATGTGACGATCTTCCGAAGATCCTGAAGCAAAAACTAAGGAATTTAAATGTGCCCGTGAAAACTTTTAATCAGCTTGACATAAGCTATAAAAATATAAAAATTTGAAGTAATTTGGTCGAGACCCATTTTCCATAAGATTTGCGGGGTTTTTTCTGCTCATTTTAATTTCATTCATTACATTTGCAAATTACTGACTAATCCAACTTCAGTTCATTGCTAACAAAAAAACTGTACAAATTTTTTCCAATACCCAATATCTTGGTTTGACTAAAGAGAGTTTAAAAAAAAATCGGATCAAACAAACCAGTTCTTAAGTAGCCGACTCTAACTAGAGAGTGTCTCTAGCCATTACATTTCTGTCACTTTTAACCGCGTACATCTTTAGCTCGGAGTATCAATCATGTAATTTTTTCCTTAAACCAGAAACGTGAAAAGTAAACATTTTTTATATGTGTGTATGTATATGTATATACATACATACTTACATAAAAATTTTCATTTTCACGTTTTCACTCTAGAGAAAAAGTTACATGATTGATATTCTGTACATATAAATTGAATATCCATAAACTTTCTTATCCCTTACATCCTTCTGTTCTTTCTCCCTCCTGCGTCTCTCCTTCTCTTCCCTAATAGCTTGCAGCTTCGCCTTCTTCCTTTCTAACTCCGCCTTCCGATCAGACATCATCTTGACCACTAATAAGAGATATCACTGTAAAAAAATTACATTTAAAAATTGATTGAATGATATATGTTTAATAAATATGTTAGGCTAAGCCTATATTCTGTAACTTTTAGCCCGGTTTTTCATTATCTGGAGATTCTCTTAAATTAGCTTAAAAAATGTTTTGCTATTCGCGAAATTTGCGAGCACAGAGGTTTTGTGCAAGCCTTTGGCAGCTTTGGAGCCTTATGATCAGAAATGAAGAATAACAGATCGAAAATGCTCATTTTTGTCGATTTGGCATTCTATTTCTTAAGCATAAAAATGTATTAGAATTAAAATATGAAAACAATTGATGGAAACAGACGTATAAAGCAGAAAAAATGCTTTCAATAATCATTAAATTAATGATTTTGGTTGCTATTCTTTTAGGAGACAAATGATACAAGTGTTGTCCTAGCTACACACACAGAAAGCCATGACACACAAAAAAACTTAAGTAATAAAACATAAGCAGTAAGCAGATTGTAATGCGATAATATAAGCAGTAGCCAATCCAACATGTTGATTTCCACACTGCTTATTGCCTCAAGTTTTTTGTGTGCCATGTGGCCTTAATAGTATTAAAACTATTTATAATATATTTTATTATACTGATCAGGAGTTGGACGAAATATTTGCATTATATAATTTGTAAACAATAAATTAAATTTTACGCAATAACTATTGCGCAAATATATTAATAGTGGGCTATTAATGGTTTTTTAATTTCTTTACAATTCTATAAGAAATTCATTGACTGCTAAAAGAAGGATAGAATGTTCTATGTATCTAAAAAGAAAAGAATTGTTATAGTAACTTTTAAAGTTATCGTAAAATTATTAATTTAGTGATTAATGATAGCTAGAAAAACATAATATTTATATAAGTATGATATTATATAAGTTAAATCTAAAGTATTATATAAGTTAAGTCTAAAGGATCAATTATGCTAGCCATAAACTGTTAATTTATGCTGTAACTGTTTAACATAATTTCAATGTTTTCATTGATAATTGTTTAATTTAGCATATATAAAATCGATAAAAATATACCAATCAACACTTTTTTTCTAGTCATTCATTTCACGAAAAAATGCGTCAATTAATACGTTTTTTATCAACTTTTGTATTTGTTATGTTAAACTAAACAATTACCTTTTCGTTCATAATAACTTATCATATGCACATAACTTATGTCATAAAATTCACTCAAATTTAATGGCAAGTAACACATAAATCTGTGTAAATCATTGTATTAAATTACCGGTTACGATACTTATAAGGGCCGTGGTCCGATTCGTACTGACAACATTCATGAACGTCATTTGTCTTCGTTTAATATTATTTGACAAACAAGGATAAAATGATTTCTTTAAGCATTGTGATAAATCAGACCGTGGTCTAAGCTAACAGTTTACAACCAGCTGATCCTTAAGTCCGGATCTACAATAGGTGTTTTAAGCCTTAAGCTGTAAAAAATTAACCAACTACAGTCAAATACGAGGAGAATAATGGATTGTGATTCCAATCCTTATGGTATATATATATATATATATATATAATGTCATATGTCTATTTCTATTAATGTAAATTAACTTTAATCTCAGTTTAATCTACTCTTTATCTTTTTCTAATTCTTAAACCAAATGTCCACGGTGCTAGAAATCGATCCGAGATCTCGGACAGAGAAAAAATTAACAAATTACATCATATTTGAATCATATTGAACAATTTGATCATATGATCGGTCAATTTTTTCTTTAACCGAGGTCACGGACCGATTTCTAGCATCATGGATACAAGGCTTTAGAACTAGAAAGAGATAAAAGTTAAACCAAGATTGAAGTTTATAGTAGTAAAAATTGGACATTAACCACTGCAGATAATAAAAACCGAGCTTCAGACGAATATACCGGTGTATAAAATTGGTTGAGGGAGTTACTGCAAAGACCAATGTAGTTATTGATTTCTTAGCGATGACGTCAACTCAGGTCAAATTGTCTACCGTTCGATCAATTACAAGTAAAATTAATGTGATCGCATTTTCGATTGTGATCGCTCAAATCATCCGAAATAACGTATTGTTTAAGAGAAATTAATTTGCATTGAATGCAACGAAACTTTGAACAATGCACTGACTCGCATTTTAATCTGGGCGATGTCGACGGCATAGTAAATCATTAACACGAACCAAATGCGACGAAAATGCTGTAACTTACCTTCACTATAAACAACAAGTAGAGCAAGTATAACGAGCAATCTAATATATAAACTTTTCAATTTTTACATTATTTCAAGGAAACGATATACATATAAATCCAAGATTCTTCGCAAACGTTCAACACACACTACAGCTTCTACTGACTTCTACCAGTGAGAAACCTGAGAGAGGACATGATGGCCGAAAACCTGTAACCGCAAAATGCTGCTGCGCACTACTGCCCTCTGACAAAGTGGATGTAAATCTACATAGCAAGGTCCACTTTTCTGAAGGTACATATGTCCACTTTTTAAGGTTGCAGATGATAAATCGATATTTAGTTCGTATAATCGTGTTACATTCACAAACTGTGAATCAGAAATAAACATCACACACATTGGTGGAAACGGATATCAAAGCTCGTTTTTCAGTTTTAAAAATCAGAAAAAGACAAAGAGTAAGTTGATGGAAATAGGCATAAAAGTGTGAACATTAAAGTTATATTACACCCTTTTCTACAAATGTGTTAATATTTATATTTCAAATAATAATCAGAAAGAAATCTAAGAGTGGTCATATCGGCCTTTTTCCTGTTAGCATCGAAATCGTCCGTACACTATCGCCAGTACATCCATTTTCAGTTTGGGAACTACATGACTACATATTTTTTCTGGTACTATATATCGTCGATAAAATCATATCGTCGAAAGTAGATGTGGTTTGTCTCTGTAATACATCCTCAGGACAGAAACCGACTATCTAGTATCCATAGAAGGGATAGTTTAATAGGTCCTTGAACGAAAAAATTTTAATTTCACATCTGCTAAACATATGTAAATAAAAGTTGTTGAATTTTAATAAACAAAACTGAAAATTCAAACAAGTTAATTTAGTGAATTTTGTTTTATATATATATATATATACATATATATATATATATAAAATTTATTTTATAATATCTTATAAAATTACAAAGTTATGTATCTTTATGCAAATTTTCAGCCAGTATTTATCAAATATAATTACTAGCAATTATAGAGACTTTTAATAAATTCAATCTTTTTTAAACATATATTGTCAATTTAAGATATAATTTAGCAAAAACGAGGCCCTCCACCACCCCCGCTAATTTTATCAGCGGTCCTCTTTTCTTTGTAAGTATACTCACCCATAAAACAAACAAGTTACTAATAAATTTAGTAGCCGGTTTTTGTAAGTAAGTATGTTTTTGATTTATTTTTTATTTTTATGTCTAATTATTTTATTGTATTTCGCTAATGAAATTGCAATAACTTTTTAAATATTATTCTTTATTGTATTTATTCTTTATTATATTTCCTTTATACAATTCGATATTACAATTATAATAATGATTTACAATACAATATACATTATCAGTGCTGTTCAAAATATAATAAAAATGATAACATAGGAGCATAATTAACAAAGTTTTGTAATGCGGGATTATACGAAAACGTCGAAAATACATACGATAACACAAATTTTTCTAAACCAATGTTTAATGAAATATTGATAAACGCAGAAGAAATACTAACAATTAGATTTATTAATTATTAATTATTTACTATTAATTATGTATTTATTAATAATTTGCAAATATAAAACTTAATAATATCGTGAAAAAAGTCATTAATATATTTATAACAGCACTATCATCGCATTCAAAATAACTATCTCAATAATTTCATCATATCAAAATCCTTTCGTTTCGTGGTACACTGATTAGTATCCGATAGAAAGAAGAACAATCTTCATAGTGGAAAGCGAACTTAATGTATTCTGATTCTTCATAAATTTTAGAGAGAGATCCATTTACAAAGAAAAGTTAAGCAATCAAATATCAGTGATCTTGTTACAAGACTGCGGTGAATCCCGAATCTTTCAGACTATTTAGTGATAGTAATAATTTTGGTAGCATGTCAATTACAATTACCATTTTTATCATATCTTTAATATAATATTAAAATTCGCAAGAAAATATGTTCTGCCACACTAAAAATTATCTCTTAAAAATAAACGGATAGAATGATTTCCTTATGCAATAGTGGTTACGAAGGAATATATTTAATAATAATAAAATACATGCGTTATTGTAATTTTTTATATGTATGGATACAAAAATTTTCGGGTACCAACTGTTCGAGATGAGCCGAACCCTATAATAACAGGATTTTAAAACATTTATACTGAAAAATTTATTATATAAAATTTAACAATTTTTTATTTTTCAAAAATTACAATTATTAATATCCCGCTAATATGAGGGTACCCATTCGACTTATCTTGAATTTTTTGTATCTACACATTTAAAATTCAACTCAAATTCAACTAATCACGATACATTGTTAACTATAAAGAATTTTGAAAAAATTATTTACATAAATACCGACAAAAATCAATATTCATTCAATCATTCGTAACCTCATAATATTTGCATGTATTTTATCATAAAAAAATGTATATACATATAAATTAATAATTAAAAATATTTTGCAATGGTGGGATGTCCAATACCTAAAAATAATAGTAAAATAATAGTTAGAAAAGTAAATATACATTCGTAACAAGTAACTGGTGGGATGTCCAATACCTAAAAATAATAGTAAAATAACAGTTAGAAAAGTAACATACACATTCGTAACCATATTTTTGTTAGAGATTAGAATCATTGAAAAATTATAAGCAAATTATTTGTATAAAACTTAAATTTGTTTACTTAATAATTTGAATTTAAACAAATAATAATTATATATCCATATCAATTATATAACACTATAAATTTCTATTGTTATTAAGATAGTGTACCATTGCTAACATTATTATTACTAGTGAGAGAACATTTAAAAAAACAAAGAAAGCGAAAATTATATGCTAAAATATACCACTGAATTAATGTTACAATTTGACTTTAAAATATTGTATATAGCAACTATCATTGACTCATTAACAAAATTATTACTGCCAGTAACTGCAGACGAGAAAACCCGGGATAATTCCTGCATAAGAATCTCCGAAGAGACACTAAACTAGATTTCGCGAATGAACTTCACGAAAAGCGACGAGAAATAATTTTCTATGATGAAAATAATTTCGACTTTCCATCAGTATAAATTATGTAATCACTGGCATCCATCTGACGCGAGAGATATTGATATGAGGTCTTTGTATATAATAAATTATTCAATAAAATATACTTGTAATTTTATAATGTTAAAAATGTAAATGTCGAAAAGCAAGTAAGAGTTAATATTTAATCATTGTCTCAATCAAAGCTCCAATCTTTTATGACTTATTTAATAAATTTGTACTAAATACGAAAAAAAAATAATTATTCTAAACATCAAATTTTTAATAAGAAATTACTTAAAATTAATGACTTATTGGTATACAAAATAAAAGTTTAAATAAAAAGTTTTAAATTTAAATATTTCAAACTTATTAAATCAATAAACAATTGTTGTTATTATATATTTCGTCGATTTCGTATAATTTACATCAATTACACAACAATTTTGTTTACTACGACAAGATAAATGCTATTTGTATTGAATAGATATTCAATATGGATATATATATTATATATTCCAGTAAATGTATAATTAATTAGTAACCCGGAAAAAAATGTTTTATATTTATAATTATATATAGTTATATAAAATTACACATAATCATATAAAAAATTGAGATAATTTATATACAATTATATATCATTATATATAAAATATGTCCAAACATATAACATTTTTTTCCCAGGAATCGTTGTACAAATTACAAAAGTAAGATTATAGCATTTATCTAGACATAGTTTATAAATTTTATATTACATACCTAATATTATTATACATACATTTATTTACAATAAAGTTAATTATAGTATTAACGCGTTGCATAATTTATACATGTATAGAATTTTACAAAAAAATTTAATTTCAGGGTAGCTGAAAATTTAATAAAATTTGAAATTAATTTAGTTTACTTTTATATTCAATAATTGGAACGGGATATTGATAATTAAATAAAACTTAAAATTAATTTAAAATTTTATTCAATTTTTAATCCCTCATTTCCAATTATCAAGTGTATACATATGATGTGTTTAGTCCTATCTATCTACTTATCATCCTACCTATATAGTCCCTACCTACCGTCGTACTTATTGTCCTACCTATCCATATTTTCATTTATTCGTGCTTACTCGCAGATACCTATCTCCATCCTACCTACATTACTTCATAAATGTGCAATAATACCGCGAATATATAATATACATTAATGGCTGCGTTCAAAGAAAGTAGATTTTCAATTGTTATAAAATTTTTTAATACGATTGGTTCTTGCTTTTGATTCCTTATGGATTTAAATGTATAAAGCAATTACATAAAAGAATTTTACAACAGTTGCAAAGCTGCTTTCTCTGCTAAACGCAGCTAATGTCTAATCATATATATCCTATGGCGTATAATAAACTTAGGATTATCACTGGGATAACTTAATCGCGATCATACCAATAATAGATAAGCAATAAGCAATATAATAATATAATTAAACAAGCTCTTTCAATCTTTAAAATACAAAAAAATTAATAAATAACAGGGCTAATAAAAATCAGCGCGGATAATTAAGTGCAAGTTTTGTAGATTTTTTTAATCTGCCAAACACTTGCTCTCTCATCTCTTGTTGTTTGTTGGTTTTTTTTTGTATTTTAAATAACTCTCAAAAAATATAAGAACTCGCAATTTGCGAGCAAATTACCCTCCCGAATATTCAGTTTACCTTTTACAAACTTATATTGGTGCCACACATCAACCTACATCTCAATGAGCAGAATGTCTAAAATTGACGTATAAGACAACTTTAAGATATCTTTAAAAATTCTTTAAGAAACATCTTTAAGATATTTCATAAAGAATTCTGAAAGATATCTTAAAGTTGTCTTATGCTTCGATTTTAGATATTCTACTCGTAGAGATTTTCTTCTTTCTTCTGGCCAGATTGAACTCACCTTTCGTTGCTCCTGGCCAATTCTGGCTTCATAAGCCAAAAATCGACAGCAAGGAGAAATACTCCTTTTCGCTGCCGACTGCTGCCGACTAATATCGTCGGCAATAAGCGTAAGACTTTACGCTTTTGTATGATGCGCGGAACACGAACGCGTCGCGAAGAGGC